CACGCTCGGGTGGGGGTCAAATCGACCCCCCGAAGCTTTTTCCAGACTGGTTTCCGAACGGCGTGGCGTAGCCGCGTCAAATTTTGCACAGCAGTATACAATTGGATAGCGGGTCGTTTGGTATCAAAAATTTGGATGTGCCATGTAAGATCGCGGATCTATGGCAGGCCAAAGTCGGGCTGTGCTTTCAGCGAAGTCAATTTCAAGGAATCGCTCAATCTGGTGCAACAACGGAGTGTTAGACGGTGCCATACATTTTTGAGGCGCTTTCTTGGGCAACACAAATATTGAATGAGGAAATTATGGTGACCTAAGGTTGAGTATGAAGGTCAGACCAAAGGTCAAAGCCAACCAGCCTGTTTTTTTTTTGCTCTATGGCTTGCTGTATGATATAGTTTCTGGTGCTTATTTCGAATCTGTTGGTAGCTGGAACTGCGTTATACATGTCCCATGGACTTCTACGAGGTCAGAATAGGTTATTGACTTAAACTGACCCAGGTCCGCATTTTTTGGAAGCGCACTGCCTGGCGTAATCTTTGTCGCTTATTTAAATGCAAAACTCAGAGCAGTCTTGTCGCATTTTGGTCACAATGACCTCCAAAAGGTCGAAGAGGTACCTGACCATAAATGAGCATGTGACCTTTTACTTGGAAACAGTTATCTGAGTTTTGGGGTATTTTGGAGAGCAGCCAGGAATTTGACCTTGTTTGACCTCATTTGACACAAAGATAATGGCCTTGGGAACTCAAACTTAAACCTAAGTAAGTTCACGTACAGATCAAGACGCCCCGTAAATTTGGTGTCTCTAACTTTCTTAGTTCCCGAGATCTCAGGCGGGTCAAATTGACCCCCACCCGAGCGGAGGGTATCTAACCGTTCACCCGGGCGCGTGTGAATGAAACAATGTTGGCTTGCCGCGCGGTATGAACGGTTGCCGCCTGCCGACCGCGCCGGTCGTAGAATGCCGTGTAATGTTTCTCAAAAACCACCACCGCTCCGAAACCAGACAAGACAGGTACACGTGTGAAGTGTCAAGACAGGTGCGATGCATGCCACATAGCCTGCTGAAAATCTGAGCGAGATTGCACTGACGGAGAGGTATCCGCAAGGGCGGATCCAGGATTTTTCGGGGAAGGGATAACGCTTCCTTGAGGCGGCACTGGAACTTGGTGCCCGGTGCCCCTCCCCTTCACAAACAAGCCTCTACACTTCGGCCACTAAATGCTCAGACTTATGTTTTGAAACGGTAAAATATATTCCGCCGGATGGTCCCGGATTTAGTTCGCTTTATTTCGGGAGGTTCATTTCATTTTTATGCTTTATGTTGACTTTGATTAATTGGGGCTGTTTGTGGTGCCCCTGAATTGTGGCGGCATTAAAATATAGGTTATGTGCACCCGTCATGTGAATATTAATATCCCTTTGGCTCAAAGGGGGCAATGGCCCCATACCCCTCTCCTTTTGGAGCCGCCACTGGATATCCTCAGCAGACCCTAGGGGGGGGGGACCGCAACGACCCCCCTATGAGGGCGAGAGTGAAGCCTTAGAAAGGCATGGTTGTGAATTGCACTGAATGAACTGCAAAATGGCTATCAAAACATTGCATATGTATATATGTACACATACATATATATATATATATATATATATATATATATATATATATATATATATTTAGCGCAACACTGTTCCATGCAATCATGATACCAAAGATGCACCATTCAGTTGTGGATCGCCTGCTTGGCTGCGCGAAAAGACGGCACTGTTGGCATCGGCATGGCACCGCCGTCAACCACATAGTATTGGTTAGCATCTCAATCATGCACGTGTCTTACGGTTCTTTTGAATGTTTCAGTACCTGCGTCAACTAATTGCACAGTGTACACTGCACTTGGGAACGTTATATCCATCATTACTCAAGCTTTGCGACGTGCTTTCAACGGGTCAGGGCTTTCTACAACTTGTATCTCCAGCGCACATGAAAACCGTCCTTGTGGTAAATACCCACTCACGTCCGTCTCTTGCGCACGCTGTGACCGACACCTGTACCGGATGAGCGCAAATTTATGCCCGTCATCGTCACGGCCGTTGAACCCATCGCGTGTGCAAATATCACGGCGATTCGTGAGGCCATCGGTGCTGCGCAGCTGGCTAAAGAGGTGGGGGACAGGCGGACGAATGGACAGGATGATTAACAGACAGGCGTACGCCCGGAAGCCCGCGAATTAGATGGCCATCTACACATGAACGCCCTATTCACCAGACTAGGCGGGAGATATAAGGTATATTTTGAAGCACACAAGACGCACTGCAAGACGTCATCTGTAAGCTCCTTTTCGCCGGGACATTTGCCTGCTGAGCGCCGCGGCCCTCTTCAATTGTCTCCAGTCTGCACCGGCCGTCACGTGAGTGTCTCGTGATCTTAAGCTTCAGCTCCCCTCGGGCAGATAAAAAAACATCAACTTTTTCAACTCCATGCCGCTTATTGAGAGGCAATCGCGGCCTCCAAAATTATCCTGCTACTGGTGGAGTGGCGCTCTAGCTGCTTGGCTCTTACACAAAAACTGCACATCACTACACCGCTACAAAGGAATGTGCAAAGCAAAAGCAGGAGACCGTATAGGCAAAGGAATGTCTTACACATTCACAGTATGCCTCTTTTTGGAAGCTGGTAGTGAGAACGATTCACGATTGTAGCAGTCACGCTGCCAGCCGCATGCGACGCCTGATGTTGTACCAGTTCGCCATACTTTCCCCATACAGGGACGGTATCAATTTGTATTTATTTATGAAGTGCAAAAGTTGTGCTGCCGCCTAACTGGAGCATTTCAGTCACACATGTGCGAGCGGGCTGTAGAGTTCTCACGCACCGGCACGTTCAGGTGACATATCTCGCCTTTCGGCTCCTAAGCGGACTGAACCCACGAAACGATGAACAACCAATGACCTGTTAGTGGGGTCCATAAGACTATTGCAAGGCAACTGGCGATCCTTTTTGCTTCTTCAGCTAGAAGTGGCCATGCGTAGCAAATAAGGCACGTTCCATATGTCAGATCACGTAACACACTAGCCCGCCAGTAACTTGTCCGCCGCTCCCAATATCCCACCGATTCATGGAGAAAGTGGTCAACACAGATTGGTTATTATCTGTTTTCACGTGGGGACTTGGACTATCCGTGGACATGTAAAAACCACATTTGGACGCCATTTGTTGGATAGCACTGCAGCGTGCTGAGGAAAACCAATGCTGTGCACAAAAAAAGAAACGCGAAGAACGGCATTCACATTGTTTTTGAAAGCCTACATAGGTGATATGCCATATCGCCAACCTGATAAAAAGTAGAGGTATTTCCTGGCACAAGACCCCCAAAGCTTGATTTTACAGCCGTAATATTTGAATATTCTTTCCTCATAGCAATTAAGAGTCTGAGCATTTGACTGTGACCCGCACACAGGTCGCTGGGATATTCGCCCTCTATGGGCGAAAAGTAAGACATTATGCTTTCTGTTAAACCTAAACACATTGAGACAAGCTTCGATTCTGTGCACGTAGCACTCAGGGCGACGAGTCCAGTGGGCCACCGCTGCGGCGACATGCTGGGACGCTTTCCCCGTCACAGTTCCAGGCGGCGTGGCCTACAGGAGGAAAATGGCGCCGCGGCACGCGATGCGCCGTACCCTCCGTTGTTCTCTCGTGCGCGCTGCCGTTCCCTGAGGCGAGACGCGGTGTGCGCGAACGCGGACATCGCACCACACACCGGCCTCACACTGCGGGCACTACTGGAATGGTCGGTCGTCATCCAGCCCATGTCCAAATATGGTCTCATGCGTCGAACGTGCCATGGCTTAATGGAGAAGTTGCGTCATTAGTTGATAAATTTCAGAAGTACTTTGACTGTTCCTGGGGGGTGGCCGTCAGCTATCAGAAATGGTATCTTCAAGTAGCAAATATGATGCCATCACCAGAGAGCTGGGGTTGAAACACTGCATCGAGTGCCTCCAAGAACACACGTGGCGTATTCTAACAATATTTATATCAGACACACTTCCATCGCACGACTCAGGATAACTGCGTGCTCTATCGTCATCTTTCCACCTTTCAGAATCATATGCTATTCCTTTCGAAATGTGCTTGCCTTCAACACGAGCCGCGTACAGGTATCGTGAACAAAGCCAGACCTCGCGGGACAAATTTTGGGTCCGCAAGGCGTACGTGTTTTCAAGGTCAACGTTTTGGACAGGTTTCGTGACAGGGTCAGTTATCATGTGCAATCTTGGTGCGAGCTGCAGTCCGCAATGACGTCACGGTTATGTAGTTTCGCCTGTTTGAAAGGAGGGCCGCCATGCGCCGACCGGCCACAATCAGCGCCGCACAGAAAAGGAGGCTGATAGGCCCGCGTCCCTTCTTGAGCAGATGCGGAAGTACGGCAGCAAATGGGAAGATATTGAGAATACGTGAAGTAGAGACACCATCGGGGTATCCAATTTCACGTCGCTCACCGAAGCTTGCCGGAATGGCAGAACCCACAAACGGACAAAACGTCAGCAGGGAAGCCCATTTCAATGGTTCAGGGTTTCATCAGTGCATTATCAGAAGGTGTAACAAAATATAGGAAAGTGCGTCTGAGGCCGTTGCTTCTTGTGTGTACTTCTGGGTTCCCTCGAGGTCGTGCCCCGCATTACGAAATCCCTGTGTCACTGATGGTTGCGACCACGATGATTACGCCACGTGTCGTGGCTGTCACCAGGCAAAAATTTGCTGGGTAAAATGTTCCAACAGTCATTTATCTTATCGTGCCAGCACAAACCAACCACAACGGTGCCCGATAATCCCACGGCCCATCCCACGGGTGGGAAAACGAGGTGGTGGTGATGAACACCCACCGCCGCCGCCGCCACCAGCCCCTCCCTCCCCCCTCCGCCGGGCGCAGCACGACACGGCAGACCACTCTGCCGCACCGGACCGGTGCAGTCCGCACACACCCACCCAGCACTCTTACCAGCATCTGCTCGGTGAGTTGGGTGATGTTGGCGGCGTAGTTCCACTCGGCGGTGGCGAGCAGGTTACACCGCTCGGTATTCTGCGGCTCCAGCACGGTCAGCAGGGTCTGTACCTTCAGCAGGGTCTCCTCGGCGGAGGGGCCCGCCTCCACCGTGTACGGCGGCCCGTCGGCCGGCGCCGGGGCCGCGCCGCCCTCGGCAGCGCCGTCGACATCCGCCAGCTGGGCGGCGGCGGCCGCCAGCAGCGTCAGACACAGCACCCACCGCAACGGCATCGTGCAGAGCAGTGCAGCGCCGGCCGTGCTGTGCAGCGCCGGCCGCCGCCGCGCCCCGACACTAGCGGTGACTGGCGGCCGGCGCCAGAACTAGCCCCGTTCGCACAGTGGCTGTCCGTGCATGGAACGTCGTGGGCTGGTATGAGCACGACAGCCGGGTGTGGTTGAGGCAGAGATCGAGAGATATGCTGGCTGTCAGGGGTGGCGTTAGAACACGCCGCGTGCGAAATAACTGAGCTCGGTGTTTATCTCCACGTTTCGTGCCAGTTGTGAACCAGGCTTGTCTTCAAAATTCATTCATAGACTAGGTACCAATAGGCTTCGAATGTTTTTTTTTAAGGAGTGACTGCAGCAAGTTGTTTTTCTGTCATTATTTTTCATGATCCTACCTATCCATTGTTATTTGAAGGTGTTTGTACTACAGGAGGTCATTTTTCCTGTAAAACCATCGCTTTGCCCTTCGCCATTCTCGTGGGTCATTTTTTCAGATGAACCCCACACACTGGAGGACACTGGCGTAACTCCACAAGCACGTCTCTTTAGGATGACTGCAAAACGTCACGCTTTTCGCGTGCGTATCAAAACGATCGTTCAAACAAAGCAGCTATTGGGCTCGGTTCAGTGAACTTGATATAAAGTTATAGCTACGCTATGTTGAATATGACAGTGTGCATTACTGTCCGCCTAAACGATGTGCGCCCAAAATACCCCCCCCCCCCTCCCCCCTCCTTCCGCAGTTGAACCGGGCCATGCCTTACAACAAGGAATACACGCCCTGTTTATCCCTTAAATCTCCAACCGTCATTCTGCAGAATGTACCAGTCTAGCGTTGTCGTGCAAGAGCCTTTCACATCCAGAGTTTTCCTATGACTAAGCTGAACTTCATGTGCGATATGAACTGACAACATTGTATCTCCACAGGGACCCAAATCGAGGCCACCATCATGTTCCTGTTCGGACTGACCGATTTTGAACACTTAAAACGCATGAAAGACCTGCAGAGACCGGGTTTCTCGAAAAGCTTGCGTACATCATTATTGTGCGTAGCACTCTGAGCGGTCTTCACAGCCGTCCAAATTGCCTTCGAGACGAAAGTTTCGCGAAACCCAGATATTGTACTTGACTAGCGCGTAAGGGTGCCGCTATGTTGCTGCACATGTGGTACTGCGCGGCCGGACGTGTTTTCTATTTTTTGGATAACTTGAAGAAAAATGGACGCGTTCAAAGCTACCGCTCAAAAACGATAGAGAAAAATGTGAGTTTTATGAAAGGCATGTTCGCATTCAATCATGACTTATTTTTGGTCCGGCAGGTAAGTGGGCATTGTTTTCTCTAATGTGATGGGAGGGAGGCTGAGCAAATGACGTCAACCTAAGCTGGCCCCAAAACCTGATTGCTTCCTGGATTTTAACCGCTCTAAGTTGCGTTTCAAAGTGAGAGCCAACTGGCGTCCGTTTTAACTGGAAAAATCGTGGTCACGCACGCCAGATAAGAGCGATTCAACAGTGATATGTATTGACTTGGAACGTCACAAAACCAGTGGAATTGTAGGATTTCATAATGTTACTATGACACCATGGATTCCTGGGTAACCTTGAAATGGTAGCTTCCTCTAGGTCTCAAGGAGAGGGCTGTGAACTGTGCTGAATTACCTTTGATATGGCTAGTTCAGGTCAGAAGCCCATACAAATGTGGAACAATTCCTTTAATCATTTTGAAGATTCCCAACTTATTTTGATGCTGAGGAACTTCCCATTTCACGCCAACGTAAAGTTGCATTCTTGTGAGAGGCTTATAATTGGGAACAAAGCATCCCTTTAAATAGAGTAGTTGTAATCAAGGAAAACCGTTTTGGTTAATGGAGAGCAGCCCGAGGCGTAAAAATACGATTTTATTCAGAATTCCGTTGCCTCACCCATGCGGAAAATTGTTCGTGTACGCCGTCTGAACTATTTTATATAAAGGTGGTTTTGACCCTGTACAACCTCCTCGACAGGTATGTCCACCACTGACCAGACAGGACATATCAGGTTGGTAACCGGACAGGTCACCGAGGTGACTGCGTTAACAAATGGCTCGGTGAACACTTTGACACGTGTTGGAAGCTGATGCTCAGCAAGAAAGACGTTGAGGTCCTGGTGTTTCGGCGTCATGTGATGGAAGTGTTCGTTTTGAAACAATAGATAACCGGCATATCAAGAGGGAGTATGCGGTGACGCTATCAAGAAATTATTGATCATCGTGAGAAACATCGGCGTTTCAAAGCTGTGCTGGTCATATCGCTCCAGGCGTTCGATGTTTGTTCCTGACAGGGATTCCTGCGGTCGGTGGCAGCGACCGCGCTGTCAAGTAACGCCCGAGGGCAAGCGGACCGTGCCGAGCATCACGGCACGGTAACCTTTCGCTGCAAAACTATATCGTTGACCCGGAATTTTACGATTGGATGGTTGATCCAGGGCCCACCCAACCAGCACTGCATATCATGGACGACCATCCTATAGTACTTTCAAACAAAAGATTCGGAATGGTTCTTTTACACGCCCTCGAGCGAGGGGTCAAATTGCCGTCCCCCCCCCCCCCCGAGGGTTTTAATGAAATCGTTTCCGAGCGACGCGGGACAAACGCGCCAAATTTTGCATAGCTGTAGAAAATCAAATAGAAAATCGTGTGGTATTAAATCATTATATTTACATTGTAAAGTCGCTGACATACGGCAAGTCAAAGTCAGGCTACAGATTCAGCGAAGTCAATTTCTAGGGAATCATTCAATCTGAAGGAACAACGGAGTGTTAAACAAAGCCATACATCTCTGAGATAGCTTTCTAGGCAACACACAATCGAACGACCAAATTCCATTGACCTGGGGTCAGATATGAAAGCCAGTCCAAGGTCAAGCCAACCTGTTTTATTATTCTAGGGTTTGCTGTGTGGGGTAGATTCTGCTGCTCATTTCTAGTTTATCGATAACAGGAGCCGCATTAGATATCTTTCATGGACTTCTTAAAGGCCACACTAGGTCACTGACCTAGAATGGTTTAGGCCAACATTTTTTTTTAGGAACAGCCTAGCGCAATCTTTGTCACTTAAACAAATGCAAAACTCAAAACAGTCTGTCTGTCTGTCAGTCAGTCAGTTTCTGTCAGCCAGTCTGCATGTCTTTGATCGTGACCTTCTAAAGTTAAACGAGGCCACTGACCTTAAATGAGCCTGGGACCTTTTGCTTAGCACAAGTATCTAGGTTCTGGGGACACTTTGGAAAACAACCTGAGGTTTGAACTTGTTTGACCTTATTTGACCCAAATGCCATGACCTAGGAACCCAAAACTTTAAACTAAGTGAGTTTGCGTACAACCCAATGCACCCTGTAAAATTGGCGTCTTTAGCTCTCTTAGTTCTTAAGATCTCAGGAGGGTCAAATTGACCCCCACTCGAGCGAAGGGTATCTAACTGGCCACCCGGCCGCGTGTTAGAAATCTTATGACCCCCACCATTCGCGCGCATTGCGGTTTGACATGTGACATGACTACTGCGGAAACAGTCATTATATCACGAATGCGGAGAGCCTTGATCTGTTCACCTCAAGGCGTGTGAACATATCAGTGCTAAAACATCCATTCTTTTTCATGACAATGGCTATCGAGAACAGAGCGAAGCCTCTCAATTGTGCCGTAAGTTCTCGTTTTAACAATACAGCTGTAACAAGTTTGCAAGTCAGTCATAGTAAGGCAAAACAAACTGGCTGTACGTACGCAAAATCAGGTATATACTGTGTGGGTCAGATAAAAGCCAACCCGCAATTTATTCAAGAGTGATAATTGCATGTCCTGTACAATCAAAGCTATGGTGACATTTCAATGATTATTCAATCATAAAACATGATTAAAATTAATCATTAGCAGTCAAACTCGTCAAATCGCTACCCAAGCCAATAAACAGTCAGTTCATCAGATCGCTACCCTACAGCAGATTCCCCTTTGAGGACAATAACGACGGTCACGTCAACACCACACAAAGCATCTCATCGCCACGGCTTTGATGCCCTACGGGGCGGCCTTGGCTTGACTCTACGAGATCCATCGGCCAGAGCGACCCCAGTAGAACGGGGTGACTCCAGCAGAACGGGGTGACTCCAGCAGAACGGGGTGACTCCACCAGGTCGGGGTGACTCCAGCAGGACAGGGTGACTCAAGCAGGACTGGGTGCCTCCACCAAGACGGGGTGACTCCAGTAGGATGGGGGACTCCAGCAGGACGGGGTGACTCCAGCAGGACGGGGTGACTCAAGCAGGACGGGATGAGACCAGCAGGACGGGATGAGTCCAGCAGGCTGGGGTGACTCAAGCAGGCCGGCGTGACTCCACACACGGCACGGGCTTCACTGGCTTGGCTGGAGGAGCATTTCGCTGTAAAGCCCATCAGCCGAGCCGCCTACAGACGGCCGCGCTGTGACTCTCACTCGTCCGACCTCTCGGCCCTGGACGTCATGCTGTGCCTCTTACTCGCCCCACCTCTCGACCCTGGACTGCCGTGCTGCGCCTCTCACTTGCCCAGACCTCTCGGCCCTAGACGTCATGCTGTGCCTCTCACTGTCCAGACTTCTCGGCCCTGGACTGCCGTGCTGTGCCTCTCATTCGTCCGACCTCTCGGCCCTGGACTGCCGTGCTGTGCCTCTCACTCGTGAGACCTCTCGGCCCTGGACGGCCGTGCCGTGCCTCTCACTCACCAGACCTCTCGGCCCTGGACTGCCGTGCTGTGTCTCTCACTCTCTAGACCTCTCGGCCCTGGACTGCCGTGCTGTGCCTCTCATTCGTCCGACCTCTCGGCCCTGGACGTCATGCTGTGCCTCTCACTCGCCCACCTCTCGGCCCTGGACGGCCGTGCTGTGCCTCTCACTCGTCCGACCTCTCGGCCCTGGACGTCATGCTGTGCCTCTCACTCGTCCCACCTCTCGGCCCTGGACGCCATGCTATGGGATAACTTCAGGAATCACATTTACGTGGA